AAGATGACCTATACATACAATCAGCCGTCGAAGTCAGGACGGCCGAAAATCGAAAACCGAAGACTTTAGGGCTTAGCAATTTCACCAATCATCATCATCCACACAACCTGGGACGGTTTTGAGGGAAGAGCAGGACAGATGTATGTAGAAATGGGCTACTAGATTCTGGTCATACATTCTGGGATCAGCTATTCCATGACCTTTTGTACCGGGGGTCGGGAGGGTCAGTGTTACATCATTAGGGGGGCTACTTAGCCGTAATGACCATCTTTTATCTTCATGGCACGATCGTTAGGAATCTGTCTGTGGTGTCAGGATGTTTGGTGTGGCCTGGAGGATGAACGTGTCAGATACAGATCGTGCTACATCTGTGGTCAGGATGGTCATTTCTGTAATCCTCCCTGATCCGTAATGGCCATGACTCTTTTGTGTAATGACTGACCGGGCGAAGTGAAGGGTCATTTTTGCTTCATTGAGTGGACGATTTTATTTTCTTCTAGATTTCGTCTCAAACTAACATTTATTTTGGTCAAGTGTACTTTCTAGCATACAGTTGTCAATTAGGGCAATGCAACAAATTCTTTCTTGAAGTATCACGTAATGACTTCTGTGTTGTCCGAAAGCAAAATACATTTAACTTTTTGTTCTCATAAAGTCTGTATCTATGTATCTGTATTTCTTAATTATCGACTAATTACGACAAGTCTACAACAGATAAAAACTGGATTGGCAACCCAGACACCCAACACGTGCTGATTTTCTTCATCCTGTATACATGTAGATGTAAACAAGCTCAATCACCAAAACAAGCAAGTGGACTTCCAACAGTAGAACATTTAACACAGTGGAAAAGCTTCTTCCAGTTTCCCTATCCTACCACCTCTCGTCGGTGAAACTGTCCGGATAAAATCTATTGATCGATGCTTGCTGACTTTGGTGAAAAAAAATCAATGTGGATTACATGTTCACACCTATAATGAAATATTGAACATTTCGTCTCCTTTGCAATAACGTGTCTGCTTATTACATGATATAACTTCGCTCCACGGGGGGGAGGGGGGCCATTCGTCAAACTTGCGGCATGTTTTTTCTATTAATGGAAAATTGCCCGAAGCCCGCCCGTGGGTAGATATTACCGCTCGTCATGAATAATGACCAAGGGTCAGCGAGGAATGGACGCCACTCAACGCGAATCATGGAGGGAGAATTCAAGTCGTGCTCGCTATAAATAATAGATTCTTACGACCACGACGGGATATGAACAACACATGACCTGGCCATTCTATAACACCTAATGTCCATCTTACACACTTCGGACACAGAAATACGTAACGGCGCTTGCGTAAATAGGTTAGCGCGGCGATAACTCAGAAAAGTTTCCGTAAGGCTATACGGAGACCTCGGAGGTAATATCAAATAATACCTGCAATATTTAACCATATGGAGGTGTGAAGAGGTAAAATGACCCTCCAGACATGGCCCGTCAGGGGTCATTAAATCTGCTATTAATACACCTGCGAGGCGACCAACAGGTCCATTATTCATAGACGTTCAATAAACAATCATCTGTCCAAGCTTTTACTTCTTCTCATAATCTCATCATGGGGTCCAGGCAACATGGGTCACTCTTTGTGCTAGTTTTTCTTAGGCATTCTGTAACTGTAAGTAACATTTTTTCAGAGCTCTCCCCAAGCAAGGGTGCTCTTCCTCTGCCCAAAATCCTAGCACCTCTCCAAAATGTTCAAATTTAGTGTTTTTTTCTTAGCCTATTTATAAAAATTTGTTGATTTTTCATCAACCGATTAGGATGAAACTCTCCCTTAAGAATTTTTTGGGAGACCCCTGTTTTCTGTACAAAAGTGTTCTTTTATTCAATCATTTTTGCGACATTCCTAATACGCAATTCAAAATTCTTCATACTTGCTACAACTGACTACATTAATACTCATTAGGGCAGAGACCAGATTGCTACAAAGATTGTTCAAAAGTGGTCTAACCCTGCAAATGTCACCCTGCAAATGTCCTGCAAATGTCACAGCGAAAAACCCGAACAAAGCGGCGGAAAAATGAAAAACGATAAACACCCTCCTCCCGCCATTGAAACGGTAGATTTACCGTTCACTAGACAATGTGAGGACCCTTGTGCTTGTATTCCCATCATCTTGGGCAAGAGGTCAATTGCCCCGGCCCCATCTAAAAGCCATGATGGCCATAGCTGGGGGCTTAAGCCTCACCTGTGCACATGGGACCGGATTGCCTGAGGGAGCAGAGATTCTCATAAATAAAACGCAATATACTTTCTCATTGGGACAGCTTGATTCAGCTGCAGAGAGGGTTATTTCTATTAAAGGTACAAAAAAGTGCCTCTTTTTACATTGTAGGAATCAGACTTAAGGCAAGTAAGTGTCAAAAGAATGACTAAAGCCTTGAAACATTGTACATATGGCTTTAGATTGTCTGGCATTACACTGAGGTAATAAATAATGTATTGCATTTTTTCCACCAGGATGGCTCCTTTGAAAGGAGAGATTCCTAAGGAAGGAACAGGTTTCTTTTTTTTTCTGAAGTAACAAGTTATTCCCAGTTGGATATTGTGTTCAGGAAGGGTAGGCTGCAGTTTTTAAAGAAGCTGCTAGGAGAAAGAAGCTGCTAGGAGATAGAGGAGCCAGTCTTTTAAGTTAATCTGATACAAATCCCTTATCAAATTTCGAGATCTCAATTCAAATCCAGATCGTTCTCAATATCTGAATCATCTGTACCGCCCTCTATGACCTCTTTCCTCAGAATTATACAAATGTAATATATATAATGTATTAATAACTAACTATCCAGTTATCCTTTTCCAGCCCAGTGCATAAAACCAAGGTTGAGCCATAATCCATCTTGGCAAAGATGACAAGATAATCCCTGCACTAAAATAGTAGGATTAACAAAGCCTGTAGTAGTCAGCATCAAAGGCCCACTGGCGGGCGACGTGACCCGCATGCTGACACGTCTGTTAGCGCACGCCACCGCGGCGTGACGGTCTGGACCCTGTCATCCGACAACGCAATGCCATCATCAATCCATCAAGCTAACCCGCACAGACTATATTACCGTAATTTGCCAATTGGTCACCGTTTGCTCAATTTCTTAGCTTAAAAGCAACGCTATTCCCTAAGTAGTGCGAAAACATATGGTTACGGAGAAACGGTCTGACCGGTTGTAATTTGCGCTCGCCACTGATTGGACAGAAAAATGAAGGCGTTGTCCCTAGATGCACGTTAAGAAAACTACGGCTTGTCTTCTTGATAGAAGCTGACTCCCTTATGAATGGGATTTGTAATAGCCTTCAAACTAAATCCAGTTTAGAAGGCTTTCTCATTACTTGGGCTCATGGTACCAGCTTACAAACTAACAAACTTGTACTTAGAAGTACAAACAAGTCTTACAACGTATAAATCTCCGGTCCAAACAGAAAAGACGATGTTAAAACCTCTTTAAGAACCTCTTTATTTCCCGGCTCTTGAGACTCTTGTAATTTGTATGCAGCTAAGACGGTAATCTCTTCTGCGCTACAAGAAAGTCCCTGCCGTCATTCAGTCTTATTCTATCAGCTCCTTATTGTCATTTGTTCCTGGAATTTTCCAGCGTCTTAAGTCGAGTGAACATGCCAGGAAACCCCAGAGCCCCGTAGACTTCAAAGCCTCATCCCAATCCTCCTGTGGCTGTCTGTCAGGTGCTGAGTGAATAATAAATACGCCAGCCTGATGATTCATTTATGATCTGTCCGACACACCCAGACTTATAATACCTGTACGACCTACTTCTCAAGCTACAGACTCTGCCACTTTTCTAGAAGGGAGGAATTAAAAATTCAGTTCCTACCTTGTACTTACTTGTTCCCTACCAACCTACCACCATCTATTTGTTTTGGAAAGATGTTATTAATCTTCTGTTGAACTAAGAAATAATTGTACAACATCCAGATTCTAATGGTTTCCCATCCCCAAATAATTCAGTCACTTACTCCATTATTTTTCAAACTTTCACGTCAGCCACTTTTCTAGAAGGGAGGAATTAAAAATTCAGTTCCGACCTTTTACTTACTTGGGCCCTACCAACCTACCATCATCTATTTGTTTTGGAAAGATAATCTTCTGTTCAACTAAGATATAATTGCATAATGTCAAGATTCTAATGGCGTTCCATCCCCAAATAATTCAGTCACTTACTCCGTTCTTTCTCAAACTTTCAAGTCATAACCTTCACCCTTACTTCCTACCAAATCACGGTCTACATCAACTGGAATTTTCCGGTTTGAGATCCTCATGAATGTTTGATACTCGCCGGCACCACGCCCGCTATGCCGTGACCTACCACGAGACTATTCAATTTGTCAATTTGGGCAGGGAAACAGACACAACTGTAGATTCCGCCGATATGACAAGCTTGGTGTTGAATTATCCATGTAGTCTACAGTCCATCCATAGTAATGACTTTGTTAGTTTTGGAGATAAGAAATCCACTATAACTAACAAATTAACTTTAATAACATATTAGCTTAGTATCTCTTCTTCTTAGATAGCTTTGATTTGATTTGCATTGACATAATACAAAATTATCACAGTAAAAACTTTGTTTCTTTACATAAACCCTTCATTTTCGACTAAATATTGTATCTTATGCTTTTGTCATTAACAAAACCTCCCAAATGACCTTACCCAAGGCACCCGACATCATCCACCAATCAGCACGGAGGATTGCGAGGTCATAGGTCGGACTATGATTCATTCATGGCCATGACAGAAGGGCTGGCATGTATTATTCATAAGGTTTAGATGGATACACTTCCATTTACATGACGGATTACCGAATGCTTTAAATATGATGTTAGATTTGACAAATGTGATCTTTGTTATTGGCTTTCCGTGGAAACAAATACAAGAGAAATATTCAGGAAATTTCTACCATTTCGCTTCAGTTGGACTAAATTCATGATACAGTACTGTGGTTCTCACCTCTTTGATGTGTTTTAATTTGTCGATGATGTTGACAATGGTGGCATCTTCTTTGTCTACTCTCAACTCGGGGTTGAATCGCTGTGCTTGGAAACCGTTGTCCACAACAGGGATTGTATATCTGTAAAACATAGGAGATTTGCAAGGGTGGGTGTTTGTATATGACAAGGCAACATGAGCAAAAAAAATTCCAGTCTAGATTATAAAAAAAAATTCCAATCTAGATTTAAAATCATAAACATTTGTTGAAGACCATGAAAATTACAAATAGTATACAAAGCAAACAAGACATTCTATTGACAAGAGTTGATGTAGGGATCTGACTGTTTACAGACAAAAGGACAGTCAACATAAGTCTATGGCATAACAGCTCCCCCTAGTAAACTGTGGTATGACGGCAAGCATATCTCGTCTTGTGAATGGTGATGACGCCAGAAAACCTTCATAGGAAGACTATCATCGTTCGAAATTTGGACATGGTAACATACCGGTTTCAGCTTTTTTGGTGTTGTTAGTAAAATATGGTTCAACTGGTAATGACGGGGAAAAGTATACAAGATGGTTTACTTGTATAGTTTATTATTACTCTGGCAGAACAGTTTTAGTAGCAGAAACATGCAAAGAATTGAGAAGAATTTGTATGAAATGTCTTTCAAGTTATAAACTGAAAGTACAGTGGGGGTGGAGTCATGTCATAACTGGAGTCAAAGAAATGGCAAAACAACACAACAGGTTAATCTGAAGATGGGGGTTTGTGGAACATAACAGTATTGCGTACAAATTTTAGAAATGGTCAATAGTGCCACCTAATGCATTACTGCCCCCTAGTGGAACCGGCAATCACTGCACCCATGATCTGGCAGTTGGATTGCTGTTTGATGTACATAAAGTGAATTCTGCAAATAGGGTGTGAGGGAGATTACAGAATACTGCCCCCTAATGTAGTATACAGAATACTGCCCCCTAATGTAGTACTGCCCCCTAGAGGAATTAGAAGTTAGTGCACCCATGAACTATTTCAGGCTGGTTGGATTACTAGTGAAGTAATACCTGGCAGCTTACATAACATTGCAGTTGACTGGTGGCCCGATAGGAGGCAAGGCAGTGCCATTTTCCATCATGTCACCAATAATACTGTAATATACATCTTAACTGCAAGGTGGCATTTTTGTATCATCATTTACTTAAATAAATGGTTTACATTACAATACATGTACCTGATGCCACCATACATAACTGCTTCTTTGTGAAGCAAGATGCTAAGATGTGAATGTTCTTTATTGCCTTCGAAAAATTCTAAAAGAGCTTCAAGTAGAACATCAATCTTAGGTATTTTCAAACATTCAACTTGTGCAAAAACTACAGATTTTGTTGGTTCCTGGGAATGATGGTAGCTGACTTGATCCATAGATACCCATTGGCACATTTGCTGGCTGCAATACGCATCTCAGCTGCTAGATGGTGCTTTTGAACCACCATATTTTTCACAGTGCAGAAAAGAGCAACTTGACCCTGTAGACACCTCTCCCATTTCCCCATATAACAATGACTACATTGTATAGAGTTTTATAAGTTAGGTTATTTCACCTACAATGTATCTTTTAATCTCTGTTCTATAGTCTTTGGGATTTATCAAATAATCTGTTTTCTTATCAAACAAACTTAAAGCTTCCTTCAAACTGTCTCTTGAGCACCAGAGAAGTTGTGGCAGAACATTCCAGGCGTGTATTTTTACGATTCCACCATACCTGTCTAGTATATGCCAAACATCCAGACAGAGAAATGCTTTGATCATCTGCAGGGAGAATATTGGCCGAAGTCCCAGTCAGTCGTGTAGGCGTCTACAAACTTTGTGCAGACGCCTGCAAAAATGTTTGTGTTTGGGGTCACAACATGATTCAGGGGGCAGATTGGGATGGAAATACATCCAGGGTACTGGCACGGTGTGGTGGGAGAGGGCCGGGCAACCGGTGATATCACTACTCTGGAATTTCTGACAGTTCAGTTTCGTCAACATACATCCACAAACATTCACCACAAAAAAGACAGATATCTAAATTTGTCTTTCTAATGTACATTTATTCAAGAACAATGTATCATCACGTTTCCTTCTTTTGGTTTCTTATAGAGGAAACGCATCTTCAAGATTTGGAGATAAAAGTGACACATTCACCATAAAAAAGACTTCAAAATGATATCTAAATTTGTCTTTCTAATCTACATTTATTCAAAGAACAATGAATCATCGTGTTTCCTTTTGATTTCTTATGCAGGAAACCTACATTTAAGATTTGGAGATAAAAGTGACACATTCACCACAAAAAAAGACTTCAAAATGAATAAATTTGTCTTTCTAATGTACAATTATTCAAGGAACAATGTATCATCATGTTTCCTTCCTTTGGTTTCTTATGGAGATGACTCACCTTCAACATTTGGAGATAGAGGTGACTAGAATTGTGTGCAAAAGAAACCACAGATTTCTTGGTCAAGGTTAGCTGGTTCCAGGTCATACACTGCACATAAATACATTGATATATTAAAAGTCACTGGGAAAGGCAGTCTGTACTAGTTGGGTTTTAGCATTTGAACCCTACCCACCGCAGCTTAGTGGAAAAACAGATATAACAGTGGGGCTCAAGTGCTGCTAACTGATCTGTAGTTTTGGAGTAGTACAACCTTTTGGAGTAGTCGTTAGTGCGCTGGTGTCGTAAGCTGGCTGCCTGGGTTCAGCGCTGATTACACGGGTTTTCCTATTTCTACTCGCTCCAAGTTTCACAGAGACAAACTTTGAACTATGATTCAAATAACACTTGTCACTTTGAATTTGGAAAGTTCTTTTCCATATTTCAAGGGCAACATGTGTTACAAACACAGCATTTCAACTTGTTACTTCAAGTTTTACATGTCAGTAATGGTTATTCCAGGCAACAGATCTTCCAGATACTGTAATTCCTCACTTTTTCACTGTACTAACATCTTTTATGTTCACTGTTTTCAATGTCATCTCTGTACAGTGAACTTATCATTACAGTTAACAAACAATTCCTGAAGTTTCTTATTCCTGTACCTGTCGCCACCGTGAACATATAGTTCCGTGAACATGTCCCTTTTTCTCAGACAGTGAAATTTTGCTACTATGAACATAAAGAGAATTACAGTAATAATGGCCCATTCCATAGGAATGTCATGACATGTCATCTGGAGATCTCAATCCAGTAAACGACTTGGTCTGAGTACCGGTGATATGTAAGAATCACCGGCATGTTCTGCCTCTACTTTAGATTGCATGCCTTAGCTCTGACAGGGGACATTCCGAAAGTCACTCAAGGGAACCGAGATGAAGACCTCTCCGACCATTCAGTTTTATCAATAACGTTCTGCCGATGGCTAGGCATTTTTACACGACCCCTATGACAACATTTGAAGACCTTAGCTAAGATGCATTTCATCGCACTGGTAGTTACGTGTAGCCAAAAGCGGTTGTCTTCGTTATCACCGCGTCTCTACTGACAGACGGTGTCCGAGCGGAAAGACAGAAGTTGCGTGCCCCCTGAGCCCCCCCCCACCTTATCTCTCATCTCCAACACGCACCGCGATATCCCCTCGTCTTCAAATTGGTCGCAAAACATTCGCGGCATGTCTGGGTTAGCCATGGAGATTTGCGAGGCAACGTTCGACGTATCATCATCCACTTATCTGTGGGTCTCGGCGAGGGGAATTTCTGCGCTGAATGATGGCGAGTACGATGCCCTTGCCGGCTACGATCGCTAATGCAGCGGCCGTTCAGTGAGAGTCCGGGGCGGATTGATGGCAGCCGACCGTTCCTGATAGATGGAATCACGCTCACCAAACCTTATCTAGGCTGGGATCTTCCTGTTTGGTCGCCTATAAAAAGCTTGGCCTGCGGCTCTGAACGCTATCTACTGCACCCTTTTGTGATTTGTCGCCACTCTTAGAGCAAATACCCCGTGGCCACTTTGGAATACCAGATCACTTCATACACGTCCAGTTACACCCCCCTCCCCAAGCAGAGAAGCTTGACCACTTCATAACTATAGAGTATTTGACCATACCGGTATCACCAGCCAACTTATCTACATAAATACAAAGTACGTATTGTGCTGGGTTCCCCACTTGCTATTTTTAACCTTTCATGAATCAGCAAAAAATGGAACATGAAATAAAAGTTTCCAAAGTACCCCTCCACAAAAAACTTCCATTCAATGTCAAGTGCTTTTACTGATAGACAGCAAAGAGCAGTTTCCCCATGAAAAAGCAGGAATAAAAACTGACATGAAAAATTCATTTTCAAACACAAGCACCTACAAACTTCTTTCTCTGACTCAGGTTAGCCTAATCAATTTTCATCTGTTCCCTCTTTTCCCCTTGCCATTTTCCTCGAGCGGCCTGCCGTAATTCTTCAAACGCATTTATTGATAACCAAACACGGTCTAGATGCATTTTTACTGCCCCCGTCGACCTATGACCCTGGTTGTAACCCCATAGGAGCGACATGACAAGGTTGGTCAAATCCCCTCACACTGTAGCCAACCTCTACCCAGCTTTCTATCCTGTCGCTCAGACACTCTGGCGTCTGGACCACTCTAAAAACCTCTTCTGTCGAGCTCCCTTATGATAATCAAATTTGTTCAGAGTTGCCGTGCTCCGTTATTGATACAACTGACGTAGCTCAGGCCCCTCGGATGATTTCTGCTCGTATGTTTTTTGATTGCTTATTGATCACATGTCCCCCTTTCTTTACGATCATGACATCATGATCCCATGTCTAGACATATGTCCAGAACTGATTGTTGCTAATAAAAACAGGCTATTCCCCACCAAAATGATCATGCAATTGTAAATGCGATTATGGCAAAACAAGAACCACACATATCACTTTAAGGAAAACATATAAGCCCAGCACAAAGCCTATAATTTCTCTGTAGTATAAATTCTGAATGTGTAATTATTTACATAATGTTGCAGCATTGATTTTCCAAAACAATATTCTGTTTCATCGAATAATCTCCCCTAAATTATCAAAATGGCATAATCCACTTCACGGTAAGCAATCATTCTAATAAAAGCCAACTTACTTAAAATTTAAAACAAAGTCTGAGCCTGTTTTAACATACAACTTACTTACACCTCATGGGCATATATCTTTCAATGCATGCAGAGAAAGGAAGACAGCACTTTGCAGTGCCTGCATACAATGGCCTTCAGTGTAGGTTGTTGAGAGTGTAGGTAACAATCAGTCACCATGTGTGTTATCTCTCCAGGCTTATCTCCCCCAACACAGGGCTGCCTGCTCTCAATACTGTACGCCATAGAGCCACTATTAAGCCGGGCTGCGACCTTTGATAATGTCCGATTTGGGACTGGGGACAAATTCGTTTGGTTTCAGTTATGGTGTGGGTGAATTGAAGAGCCGGGGAATCATCGATTCTGCATACAAATGTGGATTTTGTTCCAGTTTTTGTGGTGGCCTGGGGAGATTCGTACAGGGAACTAAAATACATGCGACGTGTTTGAAGCACCTTTTTAACACTCTCTACCTTTCTAAGACTAACGTTTCAGAAATAGGTTCGAATATGGAACAATTATTGCAATAACTAAGGACTAATCAAGCACTTTTTCTGCCTTCTAAAAAAAGTCTTTCCAAAAATTGAAATGACTTCAAATCAAAATAAAGAAACAATTTTAATTCTTATTAATCAGCTGAATATTTTTGAACAAGTTCTGCAAAGTATAATTGTAGGATTTAAACAGTTTCTCAAATTGTTTTCCCACTTCTAAATCCCTTGATTACAGAACTGTTCCAAAGCCTTGGATTCACTACCTGCTACCTGATACAGGCCGACATGTTGTACCGCAAATTAACTTGTCACCTTGCCACACTAACACGGTCTCAGACAACCGCTAATCAGCCGTACTAATTAACAACTACAGCTCGGGGACTTCCCCAAACTCCCAACACAAATAAATATCTCCTTCCAAGAGGCCATTGCTCTGTGCCGGGCGACCAAGGAATGCGGCAGGGCCACCTTCTTCACTACCTTTTGTTCCCCATAGAAACTTCCGTGTGATACTTCATAGGTGGGTTACTGGGTAGTGACAGTGGCGGCAAATATTTTGCAGGGTTTGTTTCTGTGCGGGGGTGCAGAATGTTGGAGAGAGGCCAGTTCATGGCAACAAAAGGCTGGTAAAGGTCGTGCAGGGGTCACCGCTGGCTACAGGGTACATGATGGAAAAGAGGATTAGCGACTTGGCATCTAATCAGCAAAATGTCCTGTCTTCCTTCAGGTTATAATGTGCCTGAAACTTGTTTTGCAAAGTGAACAGATGACTTATTCAAGGGCAATTCCATTTTTGGGAGAATGACTGGCCAGAATTTACGGTCTGATTCTGTGTAACCTTGGGTTTTCCTTTCCCAAAATTAAAAACATTTCACGCTAGGTCCTATAGCATACATGTACGCACAATTAGTATATAGTATACCCAATTGATACAAACACTCTTCTTTTCCCTACAGTGTACACTACAACATTTTCATTGGCAAGTGAGATTTGGATTGCTGCCATACCCAGCTGCTCTACCAGTTTTTCTTGTACTCTGTGGATCTCACTCCAATTAATTTCTCCTTCTACACTACATCACAGTAGTCTCACAATCCCTCCTCATATCAATTTTACTTCAGACATTAGCTACATGAAACCCGGCAGTAAGTTACACTGCATAACCCACCAGGCATCATGCCGCAGGTTAATCTCAATTAAGCCTTTGTTTACGCACAATAAAATATTGTTGAAACCAAGTGTAAAGGTTAGAGCGGGGGTTAGAGTCTGTGTACAGGCAGGCGTGTTTACCCACGCCAACAGTACTGCACAGAGTTCGCCTCACACCAGTTTACTGTGTGTAACCAGTAAGTCTGTACCAACAGACCCAGACACACAGGAACGGTTTACTCAACATGTACTTGTCCAGCCAGGTTGTGTTGACTGTCTACATATCACAGCCCACGACCTTTCTATTTTTCAAGGTCAACAGCATGGGAACACAGGAAGCTGTCAGTTCTTGTGATGTTAGCCGTGAATGGAGAGGGGGGAAGCTATCTTCTCAATCAAACTCTGCAGGTAGCTTTACCTACTTCAAAAGAAAGTGGATATTTTGGGCTTTTTCTCCTGTGTGTTTCTTGTTTGAACACGCGGCGATTTATGGGAGTTGAGTTTCTCGCTCACGTCGTTTAAGATTTATGGGCGGAAGGTTTCATGTTGTTAAGATTTGCTGAGCCAAACTTTGTTGCAATACAAGAAGCTGGTGACAGGAGAGGTGGAAGGAGGGTGGCGTACTTCGGTCTGAACGTTGACAGTTGAACGGGAGAACGTGTTCGACCTACCTTCCGTAGCTGAGGCCGTTCCAGCACGTTTCTTCCTCACCCGGTCTCACCGCGAGGCTGTCGTCGTTGCATATCGTTTCCGCCAGGTTACTGTAGAAACCTTTCGACATCGCTAGGTGTCGCACAAACGTCTGAAAAAGGTCAAGGTCACAGCGTGAAATATTTTTGTTTTCCAACAATCAAAATTATCTCAGTTTTTTTACATTTTTATCTACCGCAGGGAAGTCATGAAAGTTTAACAACATCATAAAATGGCGGCTACCAGCACTCTCTCTATTTACTTATCTCAGTTACTCAAACTTAATCTTGTTCTGCTGCTCTCGTGACAAGTTTATCCCTACACCGACGCTATCTAATGGAAATCTAGACCAGGGGAATGTACCTAACGCTTAGCTGCATGGGGGCTATGGGACAAACGGACCCTCACTGGAATTCTTATCAAAAATGACAACGGTTTCAACCACTACAAGACAGCTTCTTGTATTTTTCTGTGGAAAACTTTGTCATTGTAAGAATTTGAAAGGCGTCATCAGGGTTGGACAAGTTTTCAAAAATCCATTTCCACTTGCCCGAACCAATTTTTCACTTGCCTAAACTATACATATTTCTATGAACTTTTACTACCACCAAGGAAAGTATCTTATTTTGGAGTTTATAGTGCTGAATGTTTCATTTATTGAAATAAGGTGGTTTGACTTGCTCCAAACACTGTAGCAGCTATACTTTGCATCCAGAAAATTTACTTGCCTAATCGGGCAAGTACAGGGGGATATTCACTTGCCCGAACAGTGCTTTTACTTGCCCTGGGCAAAGATATCTACTTGCAAATTTTAGGTGACCGGTGTTGTTTCCTACACAGTTCCATACCTGTATGTGTTCGTATAAGTTGGCTGGTGGTTTGTCGGCTCTTCTGACTCCTCCTGTCAGCACAGGTTGTGAAGCTCTCCTATTTCTCTGTCGCGGTTTTCTGCAGGCCTTCTGTACCTATAGGTGGGGAGGGGGGCACGATTGTTACACTGTTTTCATTCACACTTGTTTTGTGATGGATCATACAAAAGTAAGAACTAACTTTTCTTCGTACATAACAACATGAATGATAAGAAGGACATACGACAAGAACACAAGAAACAAGGCAAAAATAACATGAAGTTAACCAGGGTCAAAGCATAGGAATATTTCAGTCACTGGTTACAATATACCAATCAACATGATAGAGTTGAGTTCAATCTAGTACTACTGGTATTCAACCTAGGCCTTTAATTATAACGTTTATAAACTTTTCCAACAAATATCAGATCTAATTATGGGCACTTGTTCTGTAAATAGCAACAGTTGAACTAGATCAGCGGGACCACACTTGGGGTCTAAAATGCAAACCGTGCCCGCGGACGATAGTCGTTTTGTTGTGTCTACTTTACCCAAGTGACATATACGTGGCATGTTACAAATGTAGCACAAATAGCACCACACCACGCCAGCAAGGCTCTACTGCTGTATTTATAGCCAAATAATGTGTTATTATTAGGTGCAGAACCTTTATTTTCAGACCCCCATCTCTGGGCTAAGGGCCATAATTCTTCTTGACAAAACTACATGTCTGGCAGTAAGATATCAATATTTTATCTGGTAGTAGAGACACACACAAAGTAGCAGTGAACAGTTGGACTGACTGTCCCTGGTCTAATCTCTTGTGTATTCTAACATCTTTCATCTTTAATCCATAGTTAATCCCTGCCCACCTACATTGTGTGTAGTGTTACACGGATATGTCATCAAGTGGCTAAGCAGTAGTCCTTTTTCTAAGACAGTCAGTCTACTATACTAGTACTACAAGTACTGGCCTAGATGCCTTCCGCTAGTTGGAGTTTTCTGGCCTAATAGTAGACCAGGCTGAGAAAGCATTGTTGTAAAACCTACCAGTACTCTTTACAGGAAGTATTTTGAATATCTAACATGATATACAAGTATGGTCATAATTTCAACCTCAGCAAAACAATGAAGAAATTACTGATATACTTTTATACTGGTTCTGGTCTGTTTCTAGGAGAAAGCAATCAAAATCTGGATAAGATCTTGATCCAGCAATTTCTGGAAGGATTAAATGACTATCAAAGTAAAGAAACTGGGGCAAAATCATGAGATCTAGCTTCCTTTGATTAATGACTGCCCTGCCCAAAAATATTGCATACAAAGAAAGATTTCATTTCCTGACGGTTTTTCCGTCTTGCCAACATTTTCAAGGATGACTACTTGGAAGACAGGAAGCTCTAAAGATTTAAAGCAGATTTTGAGGCTTGGCCAACCGCCCAGGAACTAGTTTAGTAGGAAAGGAGGAGGGTTCCTTTTTCATGGGGGATATGTTAAATTGGCCGTTAACTTAATTTGGAACACACAAATCAGCTTTAATATTTAGCTGTAAAAGTTTCTGTCTGTGAAAGATATAATTTTATCCTTGGGGCCTGAAATGTATACTGTCCCGTAAAAAATAGTAAAAGCTTGAATGTTGCAGTAATGTCGTCTTGTTTTGAAACTATCGCAACCGTGATATCCTTTTTATTAAGTTCATATATACAAATATAAATGCTATTAGTACTAGCACATTTTTTGCGTTGCAGAAGCAATATAACTTGTAATAGAACTTGGATGATTATAATGTTTCTCTTACCTTAGCTATAAATGGGTCAATGTATCCATTTATTAATACTTTCATACTACAAAATTAATGTATTCAACTCCTAGCATCTTCAAAGCACCTTGTAATAATGTATACCGTTATCCTGGGTTCAATGTTAAGACTTGCAGACCCTAGCAGAAATCCCTTGTGTAAAAACTGCCATCCTCATTATGCGAAGTCCTTGGTATCTGGAAGGTATCATGCAGGTAAGGGCCGACTCTAAACCCTGCTGTACTTGGCTGTTACTGCCCCCCTCCCGACCTCGCCTCCAGGCTACAGCCGTACCCTTGTCCATGCATAATTTAAAGCCCATTGAGTGGCTGTAATGTCATAATAAGTCACCCTTACAGTTCCCATATCCCAGCCCTGAACCATCTTGCAAAGTTCATCAATGATTCAGAAGGACTCCGGTAAAACCTGCCATTATGTGATTTGCTCTCCATTTTGTTTGTCTTTTCGGGTCAATTTAGAAACATTGAAACCTAAGAGGGAACCAAAAACCAACATTTTTACAATGGCCTTTGTTGTTGGCTTTGTTCTTGTCCTTTTTGGCTTCAGCTGTTCGGTCTTTTGTCCTGGTATTTGCCTTTCTAACAAAGCGTGACCAGTATTGTCACCTGCATTGTTCCGTTATGAACAACCGATACATCACTGACTAGAAGTGCACAGCCAGGATTGCCCAGTCAGCTTATACTTTATTGATAATATCTGAATAATGTGATTTGCAATGTCCGCTTCTGCTCAAACAACAATGTCCCGCCTGATCCAGCCCAATTGGTTTCCGAAATTGATCCAAAAAACGACAGAAACAAGCTTTGTCATAGATTCAGGGGTCAAGAATCCATCTTTAATTCATTTCTTGGATCCTTTGTATTCAATATAGAAGGGTCTAATGCTTAGTTGGGTGACAGATTATCGTTATTCTTCTCAATAAACATTTGTCACTGCCAGATCTCATTGTCAAACAAAGAAGCCAGACATCCTGTACATTCCGTTAGAAATCTGAGGGCATGCAAGGTTGCCTGTCGATGTCTGGTTTACCCAAATTGGTCTCGATGTAGCTCAGTGGAAAAAAAACTGATTCCTAATTCTACTGCACAATTTACACTTGGAAACAAACATCTAAGATGTATTTCTACTCTTAGTGGTTGTATTCACGGCAATTTCCTTTCAAAAACAGTCCCGTTTCCTTTCTCCTAGCACACAGATGTAGCCAATATTGTTTCCTACAAACAAACCACGGGACTCTAGACCAGAAGAATTAGGACACACAGTAAGTAGTCTGAGTTTGCCAACTGCCTTGTTAACTCCCAGTAACAATGATTTGAATGAATTTATCCTTTCTGCATTGTGTTCAACCACAAACTTTGGTATCCCTTAGTCTTCTCAACAATTAATTTCAATTTTACAGAATTTCTTCCATTATATTTCTCTTTTTCATGAGTGGCAAGTGCTCCTGGAAGAAAGGAAACTGTCCTGTGTTCAATTTTGGCAGCCTGTCATCTTAATTAGTTGGAAACCCGTGGCCATCTGGTCAGACACACCCCCTCCTAGCTTCCCCCTCCCCACCAAGCCTCTGTTTTAACCATCTGTTCTCCTTCCAATCTTCCACTTCTCTTCCTTCCAATCATTTCTTCCCTCCCTCGCATTTACAGGTGACTACCAGATGATTATACCAAGTTGTATTCTGTACACCTGGGTGTAAAACTGGTTATGATACGGAGGAAGCTTTTTTGGTGGTTCCTCCCCTGGGTATTTGTAGACCCAGGGAACCCAATATCCTACCTGTAACCCATAACCTGGTGCAAATTACACCCCACCCCTACTGTGGAACTGAGGATCAGACAATTTTACGCTTTGGCTACTTCCTTTACAGGAGTAGATAGGAATTCTTTCAGGAATCTACAGTTTCCAAAAACTGATTGAGACAATCAGAGAAAATGTACACGTTTCCATCTATCAATACAATCTCGATCCATAGGCTGTGTCCCTTTCCAAATGCAATTTGAAATAGAAGGGCGATTCTGTCCACTATCTGATATTAATAACATGGACAGCATTTATCATGCAAAGGAGAGATGTCACTGTTCATGATGATATCAGAATTATCTAGTAAATCAAATGAAAGCCACTACACGCCACTAGATATTCTGCAACACAAAGTATGAAAAGTAACTCCTTGGACACTGGTGCTTCCGTATTGATAGTTATCACTTCCATGAACATTTTTGGTGTTACCTGTGGATGCTGCATCTATCATTTACACCTTTACTGGAACCTTTTCGTAAAACTTCTTGTCACCTGTTCACTTTTTACTTCCCATGACCCTGCTAGGTCAATCCCTATACTTGCAGACCAGGCAGGCCAGTTATGGTTAGTAGACCTGGAATACGGAAGAAAAACGAGGCATGACATACGGTACCTTTGCTGTAAGACTGGGTCCGTTCTGCATGGCGATCATGATGGACTCGGAAACCTTGTCGGGAAGGGTGGCCATGACGGTTTCCACGCTGTACATCCCTTTCATGCCCTTAGTCAGACTCTGCATGACGTCGATGTAGGAATTCCAGTGCGGGTTGATATCCGTTACGCTGGCCAGGCACCCGCGCATCACGTTCATGCAGTAATTTCCACAGGGCTTGATGAGCGGCTTGCCCTGGCAGTGCGAGCAGTACTTGAACTTGAGGAGCGCCTTGGTGCAGTCGCGTGTCAGGACCAGATGGTTGGTCGTGTTCACCACTTCGACGCCGAGGTTCAGCGCCTGCACGAAGACCCGAGCAGCCGACAGCGAGCGCTGCAGCTGCGTCGAGATCCTCGTCGGGAGCTCGCCGAATGGTAACACTTCCCGCTGCAAGTCCATGACGCAGTTGGTGTAGTCCGCGCTCATGTCCGTCATCTTGGGGTTCAGTAACCTCCGGTACACCAGCGGGAACAGCGTGTCGAAGAAGTCCTTCACGCTGTCCGTCACGCTGAGCTCCGCACCGTTCACGTAAAAGGAAAGTTTTCTGTGGAATCCTTCAATGAGTGAGTTGGCCTCGATGGCCATGTTCTTGTACACGTTCCTGAACAGATGGTGTGTCTCGTTCTCCGACTTCTGAATCAGACCGTGGAATTGTTCTGTGAACAAAAAGACGAAACATCAACAACAGTTTATTTCAAGTGCATGTATTTATATCTTTATTTCTAAGACAAGTTTCTGCCTACTGAAAAATGCCACACTATATAGGGTTACCTGAATCAAACTTCGATGTGAAATATACTAGATTTGCGACACAAATACAAAATCATAAACCACCTGAACTAAACAGTGGAAATATTTTCTTCTTGCATGTATGAATCAATACTTTAATTGTATAGGTCTGAGAAACGATTAATCAAATTGGAGCGTCATAATAATGAACGGTTGCAAATTTCAAGATTCCCAAAATGGGCAAATCCACTGTGCAATTTTCACGCAAAATTCCTTTGTCCAAATAAGAGATCCACATCCGTCATGTCAGCAAATCATCGTCTGGTCTTCATGCCATGGAACGGGATGGGGTCTGGCTGGGACAAAGCCTTGCCAGCAAAAAAGTTTGGTACGGATTCAATCTTCCAAGAAGCCTTTTCCTTATGGCTTCTGAATACCAAACTTCAGATTCAAAAGATAAGGAAGGGCACGGTCAAGTACGGAAGTCCTGGAAAACTTCTACAAGAGATTCCGGACTGAAAAGGTCACCTATAAATCTCCACATGCATTCACCCTTCCAGAAAAGTCTGACCAAATGACCTTCAGGATTAGAAGATCAGGGATAACTTTTCAAGTTCATGAATCCCCTGGAAAAGTTCAGCACGAGATTCCGGGATGGAATCAGACTTGACCTGAACTGTGACCTTGGAAAGACACACTAGACAGAGGGGAATGACCTGTCTGATAGGAATGTGAACAGGAGAAGTGCAGCACACTAGGAGGCAATTCAGTCCAGACTAACCTCAGGTCAACCCCCCTCCCCATTCCCCTGGCCTCTCTCAGGGTTACAATTTTATAAGTCATTTCAATGCAGATAATTGGCCTCCCCCCTGTTTAATGCCCAACCTTTCTGTGGTCCCCCTAATTCCCACAGAAATTATGTCCATATGTCGACTAGATTCAGAAATGCTGCATTCACGAACATGCTATGTTCCTGAAAAACTCCTTTCCACCTCTGTTTTGGCAAAAACTGGTATCACGCTTTTCAACTTATCGTTTGCTACATTTCTGAGAGTTTCAGATGCTTGTTTGTAGACATACTGTTATAAGACAAAAGGGCAATCAAAGAAGAAACAAAGGGGCATGACAGCATTGTGCCAAGTCTTCAAATTAGCAGTCTAAAAATGTAACAACACTTTCACACATCTACATTTATCTGTAGATACATGTAACTTAGGTATGATCCTAATTCTCCTAATCACAGAACGTTTAACTGGTCCCAACAGCACCTTGGGCACATTTGCTCGCTCGTCTGCGACTAATTTCCCTGAGGTGAGAGGTGAACTCCTAAACATGTCCATAAACTTTTGCGGTAATTCTTCAGACTCTAATCAGGTGTACAGACATTTTGTACACCATACGAAGCTTCTATAGTTTCTGCCTAAGCTTGTGCAACCCTCTAAGTAATTACAAGAGAAGTTTTAATTCAATTTACTCCCTTTCTGATGTGACTTCATGGGTGCAGCTGAGTTGAATTAGCCCCAGAGGATTCTGGGTTATCTGGTGAGATAAGCGATGACAACAACAACAACAGAGCTTCTCTCTCTCTGCTCTGATTTCTGAGCTCTGTTGTACCAACCAAAACAGAGGCAACTTCCTAAAACAGATACCCATGGCGGCTAAGCCTAAATCAAAATACATCAACACTCCTGATGGTCCCTAGATAGATACTGTTACAGTAACCAGGCGCCACACACTTCAGTTCTTTCTCAGTAGACTACAGATCCAGCCATTCTTCTAGATTATGAGGGCTTTACTTCTGATTCAAGTCCTTATAATAAGATACTACTTAGACATAACATTTCATATTCCAGTAATGACATTTGGAGATTATGAGCCCTCTGAGAGATGCATGAGGAAAATCCTGACAGATGGTTTGAAAAATCGCTAATTCCTGACCCTGAAATGACTGCATTGCAGATGACTGGAGATTATAGGGGATTTGGAGAAGAATCTGAACAAGAATTTGTTCTCTCTTGTTGCGTGAAAGATTGGATGGGTACACGGGCCACTGACGGACACATGCCTTCAAGCCAAGGCCATCCGATAACCTTGGAAATCTATTAGCACAAGCCATCCTGCATTCTTAATTACTCTGCAAAAGAATGTTACACGTTGCCTGTTTTATATCAAAACAGGGGTCATATTTTCAGTCAAATCAATTTGCAAATTAAAATATGGGCAAGTTTTCTCTCCCTTTCTGATATTTTGGGTGAGTAACGTTTCAAGATTGAAGGGAGGAGGGAAATCTTAGCCGGTAAGCGGATGCTACTAAATAGAGATATACCGCAAACACACAAGCTACCGAAGTACAAACTTCCGCTCGCAGAATGCGTGAGGAATGCAGAGACTTGCTGGTGATCCCTGGTGAATGGAACTGTGCAGGCTAATCCTTCCACACCAGCATGCCATAACTACAAAGGTTCCACCCCTTGCACATGTTGCATGTTTTCTGGTTCACTGACTTGTCAGGGAGAGGAGAGCCCTCTGGTCTCCCCCTTCTGTTGCTGCTCTGTAGCCTGCTGGTGTGTGTTTGTTTTTGCTTCCTGTTTCTCCTTGGAGATTATTCTAGTGGGGTCTTAATGCAGGGCGAATGTCTCCAAGGAAGGGGGATTTGCTTGAGACATATCTTTAGCATGAAGTCATAACAACCCAGGCTCTCTGGCTAAGTGATCGCCTGGAATAGCATCAGTCAACAATGGCAACTGCTTAGACTTCTAGACATTTTCTTCAACTTCTTGTTTACTAAAAGAAATATCTTGCCTCTTACATTTCCAATCAATAGCTCATATGAACATTATGTTAGTTACAACTGCGCGAAAAAGAATTGTACATTGCTAACCACTTAGCCAATACTGAGTGATTTCTACTTCTAGCATTTCCTGTGAGTGTTCTATACCCTACATTTACCATCATATATATTGTGTAATAGCTTGTCTCAGTAAGTAGGGACGCTTTCCTGTACATCGTGCCCCAGAAATACCCTGGAATGCCCCCCAATCGCTCTCTGTCACATCGATGGTTACACATCGGCTTCACACCCTTCACAAACAAAAAACACAAACATCGCGGACACCCTACCCCCAAACTACCCCGGACAGTTATGCTAATCTCTTCCTCGACTTTTTGTCCCGGCGGTAGTTAGACACGGCAGGGTTTTCACGTCCACGGTATTCGGACAAGAAAAGACTGGTGTGCAATTGAAAGGGAGCGGTTAAATGCTCACTTTCTCTTTGTCCCGCTCAAACAATTCAATGTTTAAGTACAGAAGGGTTTGGAAACAAGCTCTTTTATCTCTGACCTGATGCCCCCCTCCCACCCTTTTCTCCAAGATGTTTGTAATGCAACAAGCCACTACATCAGAACCTATCTTTTATTACTGTACAAGTGATTGCTCTATACATAGCTACTGTATCTACCTGAATCACACAACTCAAAATAGAGACAAAACTTCACAGAAATGACTGCCGAAAACCCCCGGTTGCTCATAAATTACTTGGTGTTGGAAAAGTTCAGTAGAATAGAAAGTAACATCAAGCTATTCGAGATCAAGAAACCTAAACACTAACAGTATGAGGACGTCTGAGACGGTTACTAATTTACAGGAACTGAACAAAGACGTTACTACAAAGACATGAGAATGGCCAGACGCTGGCAACAGACATAGCCTGCTTTCCTGCACTGCAGGATTGTGTATCTATCGCTTGGCACAACCAGAAACAAACGCCTGGAGCAAAATTCTCCGTCTAAGACCAGGCTTTCATGTATCACACCATGGCTGGCAGCTATACGACCCTGGCTGCGAGTATAATACCATCTGCCAACGTTTGACAGGACAAAAAATGAACCGCAGCCAAACTATCAATCTTTTTGTGCACAAAGTGGAAAAATAATGATTGGCAAAATCTCCACCATTGATTACCTTTACCTAAGGGTATTATTTTGAATGGAACTTGTAATTCCATGGGTGTAATTCCATGGGTGTAACAAATGTAACAGCAGCAAACCATTGCTGTAGATTGTAATAACAATTTTTACGTATAACAGTGTCCAGTTTAATTCCGGAATTCCAGTTTAATTCCGGACTAATTCCCAACCTTACGTCTAGATGGGCTAATATTCTAAGATATAGGTAAAAATGATGTAAGAAATACGTAGCAGCCATCGGTGACCCCTTGGGAATTAACCCAATTCTGCAGAATTCTGCAGAATTCTGGGAACTGGAGCCAGAATTCTGCAGAATTCTGGGAACTGGAGCCAGAATTCTGGGAACTGGAGCCATCTAGACGTAAGGTTGCTGAGATATGGGAATTAGTCCGGAATTAAACTGGAATTCCGGAATTAAACTGGACACTGTTAAAATTAATCGGTGACCCCTTGGGAATTAACCCAATTCTGCAGAATTCTGCAGAATTCTGGCTGCAGTTCCAACCCAGTTCGTGAATTGGGTTAATTCCCAAGGGGTCACCGATGGCTGCTGTGTATTTCTTACATCATTTTTACCTATATCTTAGAATATTAGCCCATCTAGACGTAAGGTTGCTGAGATATGGGAATTAGTCCGGAATTAAACTGGAATTCCGGAATTAAACTGGACACTGTTGTATTAGTACCATTACGTGTACTTTTTCCTACGGAAATATTCTATTTTCTTCTCTCCTCTCTTTCACTTTCATGTTTCGAAATACAGACCAGTGCATACACTATCACTGGTAGTGTGGATGACTGAAATTATATAAACTTATAGTCAGTAATAATTTTGTTTTGACTCTTCCAAGAGAAGTGTTCCTCATTTTCTTTCTAATGACCTTTGAAACTGTTGTTACAGAAACACTCTTCAATTGTTTGCGTGTGTTTGGGGGATCAAGACAATTGTTGATGAACAAGT